CCGGCTCCCACCGCTTTTTGGAAGGGGAGCCGTGAGTCCAGGAGGACCCCCAGATTACGCACTGGGTCTGTCTGGGGCAGTGCCACCCCATCCAAGACCAACGATGACAACGTCCCGGATACAGAGGAGTCAGTAACCCTTTACTGTTCCTTTACTGTTTACGTGTTCCTTTACTGTTGATGACTGATCCTAAAAGGCAGGTGTCCATCACTTCAATATCTTCATTGTCAATTCTAAGGCTGGTTGTTCTACAGGTTTCACATGAGGACAATGAGATGTTCTAGAATACCGATTTTTCTAGCACATTCCACAGCTTGACAAGATCGACACAATCGAGGACCTTTCCATAATCAATGAAGCAATTAGTGACTTCTTTTTTAGTATTCTTTGGCTTTCTCAATCATCCAGTGTGCATCAGAAATAATGTATTGTTTTCCTTGGCCTTTTCTAAAGCCATTTTGAACATCTGATATCTCTCTTTTCAGCTACCATACTTTTGCCAAAACTACCAGGATGTGTCCAGTTCAAAAGTCTCCAACTCACCAGGACTTGAGTATGCCTTGAAAGAGATTATGTGCCATCAAGTAGGTGTTGACTCTTAGCGACCACACAGATAGGATTTTCTCCATGTCAATCTGTCCCTAACCTGGTCCTTCAGCACTTCCAACAGTGCACTCTTTGCCACTGTAACTGAGTCCATCCACCTTGCTGTTCGTCATCCTCTTCTTCTCTTTCCTTCTATCTTTCCCAGCTATATCCGAACAGCTAGGTCTTTGCATAATGTGTATCCCAAGTAATCATGGCTAGTAGCTCTGAAATGTTATTTCCAAAAATGAGTCTCAAAAAACAGTGTAAAGTAAAACAAGTGTTGATCTAAAAAAAGTCATATGTCTGGTAAGAGATTTTCAGAAAAGGCAGCACAATTATAATGGAGATATGCTTTGGAACAACTCCCAATCTGGTGGTTATAATTGCTGGGAATGATAGCAAATGTAGTTCAACATAAATGGAAAGCACCAGGTCAGGAAGGCTGCTTTGAAGGAGGATAGAATGCCTTGGATTAAACCTAGGATTCTGGTTTTGGAATAATTAGCAGTTAATGTTTGTGTTGCACTTGCTATGAGAAGTAAAGCTAAAACAGTGTTTACAATAATGTGAGCTAGACAGATGCCTGATAGAATTTTCAATTCCAGGCTCCAGTTATAAGAATAAGCCACTCATTGTAGGTTAATCAGATTAATCTTCCTTTTTCAACGGATTTAAGAAAAGCCAAACCTAGAGGACAAGGGGGAATTTATGCTAGTTACCAAGCTGCTGTTACTATGAGAAGGAAATGGCTGCTCCTGCGTCTGGCACAGAGTGAGCGCACTGTGGTTTGCAGATCCCAGCATTCACAACTAAAACACAAGCAAAGCATGTATGCCACATCAGAAGAATGAAACATTCAGCATTAGGCTTTGTTGAAGGAAAAGGTATTTTCTGAGGGAGCAGGGGGCAAAGCTTCTTCTTAAGAGATCATATTTCACTGAGCCAGAAGAAACTGTTCTTTTAAAAAATGGGAAAACTGCAGTTATCCATATATGGTCAGAAAGTTAGATTTCGTGGGATGTTGCCCTTGATTTAAGTCATGTGAGCCCTCTGAGGTTTTGAGCTTTGTCCTTTGCTGCTGTTGGTGCACTGCTTGCTAGCTCCAGGTTTGAGGAAAGTCCTAGTAAAGATCAGCCCTACTCTTAGGCTAACTGAAGCTGTCAATTTTGGCAGCTGTTTTGGAGTGACCTTGCATAGATGATTATTAAATGTGTTGTGATGGTTTTTAGTGGGAACCAGAAGGAGAAGTCCTTGTGGGTTTTTCTGCCCTTAGGTGCCAATAGAACTTGGCTATTCTTGTGGGAGCTTCACACTTTAAAAAAAGGGGGTATTATCTGTTTTTTCTATCTTATGCTGCTGCAGCAGCAGCAGCTACTGCCACCACTAAAAACTTTGCAAAACAGTAATCTTGCAGGTTACGTGGCAGTACTCAGCATTTTTCCAGGCTGTTGAGTCTACTTTCCATTTTAATTTTCTTCAGAGCTTCAGAAGGATGCTACACCAAAGACATACTGGAAATTAAAATGGCATCTCCCTGGTATTATTCATTATCCATGCTAGATGGAGATAGAATTAAAGGAGGGGAAAGTCAGGACAAATCTCTGTGGTTGGCTGGTGACAGCTGCCCAAGAATGCTGGACCCAGTCTTCATTGTTATTTAGATATTCATATCATCCTACTCGGATTGTAGAATTTAAGTCAGGGTTCCCCAACCTGGGGTCCTCCAGATGTGCTGAGATGACCACTCCCAATGTGCCCACCAACTCAGACTGATTTTCTCCGGATATTCTGTGCATAAATCTAATCAGTTTCTAAAGGTTGCATTTTTATTTAGACCTCAGATACTTAATGAGATTCATTTTCCACCAAAAGGGGAAAAAAGCATTGGGTTGGGTTGCATCCTATTGAGGACTAAGTCCATTTTATGTGCTAGAAGGAGGCCATTCATGCTCCTGTTGTATCTTAGCCTCATAAACATACTTACTCAGAAGTAATTCAACAGAATTCTATATGCCTTAATATTGGGTCCGTGTGCAGAGATTGCAGCTGACCGATGGCCACAACCCAACCCCCAAGAAAAAATACCCTGGCGAGAAAGGCGATCCTAAAATTGCGTGAATTCAGAGGCAAGATACATTTAGGCAATCTATTTTCCTCACTGATATACTCTGATGTCGCCTTCCCCGGCGGGTTAGAGATGAGTAAAAGAGGCTCATCCGCTGTAGCGAGCGCGGCGTTTCTCTGCAGCAAACGTCCCTCTGCCCCCCCCCTCCCCTCCCCTCCCCGCGCGCGAGACGGGAGGCGAGGGTGGTGCCAAGGGCCGGCCAGAATTGGAAGATTCTGACGTCGCGGCTCGAGCGAAGCCCAGAGGAAACAGCTGCATTGCACCGAGGCCGGCCAGTCTTTGCTCCTCTGCCCTAGCAAGAGTCCGGTTGCCTCGCGGTGGATCCTGCGGCCTCCTCCTTTCAACAGCCTTAGGGAGCAGAAGAGGCCTCGGCCCAGCAAAGTAAGGATTTGTGTGCCTGCCTATAGCTCTGGCTGTATGTGTGTCTGTGGGTGTGTACGCGCGCGCATACTGAAGAGGATGTGAACATTCCAGCAACTGTACTGGTAACAGCTGCAAAATAGTCTTTATTTAGCTAATTCACAAGAGGGGAATAGGACCACATGGATTCACACACACACAGGGGAAAAAAACCTATCGCTAGTGACTTTCCTGTATAAACTTTTATATTTGCAAGGAGCTGGTGCGGGTGGCTCAAATCCAGGGTATTCGTTGTGGAGGATTGATGACTTTGACATAGAATTCTTTTTCCTTTTCTCCTATTTTAAGCCTTTCACTGGTGGAATGTGAGAGCACAAGATCTGAAGTTATTTAGCCTACTCTAGTTTAGGATGGTCTTCGGGAAACTAAAGAAAATCTTTGAGGGATTTTGTCAATATAGATCCAGTGAGTGAAAATGGTTCTAATAAGTTGGCAGTCTTTTCCAGCGTAATTGTTTTTGCATCCCTTCATTAATACAAAACAAAATAAGTATTTGTTTAAACTGTACCCAACTTCTAGGAGAGGTTGCTTGTCTTTATTTATACCTTACAACTGTAGGGTCTTAAAAAATCTTCATGAACTTTTTGTAAGCTGAATGATAAACTGAAGGAAGCCAGATGCTGCCTGTTTGGGGCTTTATTTCTGCTAGTATTGAAAAGCTGCATTTGAAAATAAAATTTCTTCTCTTTTTTACTAGTCAGCAGGCATCGTTGAAACCTTGGGGGCTTTTTGGGCGGGAAACCATCTTTGGCCTTATTATCTAAACTTCAGTCGGATGTATTTGGCAAAGAGACTACTGTTAGTTGTAGAACTAAGAAACCATGGGCTCTGTCAAAAAATAAAAATAATAAAAACATTTATAAGGCTGCTTCTTTTTGCATTCAAAGCCTTCTCAGCTCTGAAAATAATTATCCAGTTGATTTACTAGGGGAGCTTTACCCAATTTTGCCGCCCATAGAATTCCCAGCCAGGTTGGAAAAGGCCTTACCCCATTTAATACAGAATAATTTTTTTTTCAGTTAAAATGCTTGCAATATGTTGCCAAAGCAGTTAGGAAGGCACCTGGATGATAACTGCAAGGCCTCTCTTGCCTTGTTCCCGTATTGGTTCCCTGTGGGCTGGGTGGGGTCTTGGGTGTCATACAGTTCTCAGAAGGTTACTTGCACACTCACTTGGAAAAAATCCCTACTGAATTCTGTGCTGCTGTTTGTTTAAATTGGGAAGTTGTTTCCTGATGCTGCAGGCAACACCTGTTTTTAATTATTGCCTTTGTAGTATGTGACTTTCAGTCTTTTAAAAAGTGTTATATTAGACTGTTAATTTGTAAATGAAATGAAAACTTCATTTTGATACAGATTTCTTAGCTTTATTAAATAATGTTAAGTGACTGCTGGAACAATAGTTTAAAATCTGAGCAAGGTGCCTCTGCGTAATTTTTTTCCTCATTATCCTTAAGAGACCTGACAAGGCAATTCTCAGGAAGGGACTAAAAAAGAGAAAAGGCACAAGTTAATTTGCAGTTTCTATGATGCAGGAAAAAAAGCCTTGAATGTCTTCAGAAGACACTCTGCTCCTATTTATTATTTAAATTCTTACTGAATTTTCTTCTGCAAGAAAAGGAGAAGAAGTAATAGGGAGACAAAGGAGGGAGGATCAGAATTAAGAAAAAAAAGACATATGACTGCTCCACCCCAAAGTTTTGTTAAAGAAACAGGGTGATAATCATACTAAAAACTTTTATCTTGAAATATCTCCAGACTGTTCTTAAAAGGTTAATTATAGGCTATTAACTCATCTTTTTCTCCCTTTGTGGACATAGGTGCAATCTCATTCATTTTATCTGGCAAATCATTTATCGGAGGCTGCTTTCAATATTACTGTTTAAACTTCTGAAAAAGAGTTGAGACCAGTCCTTCTGGACAAAATCCTGTTTCTTAAACTTGCAGAATCCTGAATGAATCTGGGAATAGAGAAATCAATGTTTCTTTCTTAACTTCAGTTAATAAGAACAGCCAGATTTGAAATCTCATTGTCTGCTTTAATGAATCCTCTTGGGATGTTGCAATATCTTTGTGAATGGAATTTTCACTCCAACCTTGTTCAGTAGATATATTTCAGAACTAAACCTTTGCTGACTGCTGTTTTAATGTTTCATGGCCTCTCCTTTCAATGGCTTTTATTTACCGTTTAGTGACATAAGTTCACCTAGCTGTAAATGCCTTTGTGTCTTTGTCAGTAGAGGGGAAAGATTCTGATTTCTTCCTTCAGAATGGAAAAATGGTCATCTAACATTTCAGAGAAACCTAGTTCTTATTAATCTAGCCCTGCTAGACAAAAAGAATCACTAAATTTGGCAAAAATGAGAGCAACTATAATGGACTAAAAAGGATGCTTCTCTAATATCCTCACCCCAGTGCAGTTTTTCCTGCAGTGGTGCTTATTTGTGTCAGATGACAATACTGGTATACCCCATTCTATTTAATGTGAGTGCAGAATATCTCCATCAAGGTACTAAGAAGTATGTATTTAATAAGAGTTTCTTGGTCATGTGATTTAGGGTTATTAAATACCAGGGTGATTTTGTCACCCTTAATTCCCACCAGTTTCTGTTTTACTGAATGTGAACATTTGGACAAGATGCTTTTGTTTTCTCTGGTCACATTAAAATCTCATGCAAATGAGCTTTCTCAGGCAACATGATATGCAAGGCATATACTTTTAGATAATAAAAATATGAACTTGGAACAGGAAATGAAATAGCCTGTGTGCATGCCAAACTAGAAATGTTAATTTCTCATGAACATTCTTGCCATTAAATTCTAATATTCTGAACAGAGCAACAGCCTCATTTGATCAATATGTCATCCTTGATGGATCAGTGCCAGGTCTTTCTTACCAGAAGTACTAAAGCAAAAACAGTCTGTTTGCATCCCACAAACGTATTCAGTAAGCTGTGGAGATGTACAGCTGTTGTTTCCCATTCATCCTGGCTCAGTTTTTTTTTTCCCCCCTGTTTCTGTTGCCTTAGATGGTTTGGCATTCCTCATGTGCTTCCCTTCATACTGATTTTTCTTGACCACATTTTGGGAGATATGCCAAAGTAGACATTAAAACATTACTTTTTGTAATAATCTACAGCAAAGATGGGGTACATGTGGTCCTCCAGGTGTGGCTGAACTGCAACTCTCAGCATTTCTTACCATTAGCTCTGCTTACTAAGATTGCTGAGCTTTGAAATTCAGTAACATTTGGTGGGCCATAAATTCTCTATGTCCCGTATACAGCATGTTAGGGGATATGCAGTTTTTACCTAGGCTGAAGTTACATTCCTAGCTTTCCTTATAAACTGTAAGAAGAAAATTCCTTTTTTGCTGTCCTGCAGGAGATCTGTAGGCAGGATAAAGCATTGTTCAACCAACTTCAGATAATGATCACACTGCTATTTGGCAACCCTTTTCTTTTCTTTTCCTTTTGGCTGGATAATGTAAAACCTATGCCAAGGATCACTGCATAGCCTTCCAGCTGATAGTGAACTGCTTCTCCTACTATCCATCACTATTGTTTCATTTATATATAATTTACTCTAGATGTTTTAATTGTATTATGGATGTATAATCATACTTTGTTCAGCACTGGGAGCCTTGAAGGCAATACAGTGGCATGTGCTGACTGGGTCATGGTCTATTTGAAAGCAGAACATATAGCCTTTATTCTGATTTAGCTTTGTGTACATGCCACGTAGCTACTCATATTTGGTTACATGTTTCTATCTCAAGCTAGGTTAGAGTGAAGGCAAAATTCCCTGCCTGCTGTCTAGTAGAAGCAAGGTAAAAATGGTACCAAACATTAATTAGAAGCATGCACACATTCTAACCAAGAATCATAAATGGATAGCAGGGGCCTTTTATGAAAATATCTACAAAACTTCAATTTTGTTAAACATGTCTTTCTTTTAATATTCAGCTCATCTCTTCTCCATGTTTTTATTTGTTTGTTTTAGGGGTGACCTGAATGGCTGAGGTTTTTCTATTTTAAAAGCCAGCACAGTTAAAGAAGCGTTGATGGTTTTAATCAGATCATCTGAAGTATGCAGTCTCTTTTCCCTCCTATTTATATAAATGATACTCATAAATGTATTATCAGTCAACACAAAGCAGTGATTGATATTCCAGTTTTGACAGTCCTTACAGATTTCTGTTGTGGTACTGCACCACTAAAAATTGATATGCTCTACAGTACCAGAGAATTTTATAGATTAAGGGAGGTGAGAATTCTTGGTTCAAACATCTTGCTAAGTCATAGTAGATTTGTTGGTTTGGAATTCATGGGAATCTAACCCACTGTGGCTTATTCAGCAAACCCTAGTTAAAATTGTGGTTTAATATGGTATGAGAACTCAATAGTATATTCCTTGTGGTAGTCCTGTCCAATCAAAAAAAGCATTCATGGCTGAATTCCACTGTAATAAGCCCAACCAGGAAATGTAGATCGTATAGCAGATACGTGTTAAATGATAGAAAATGTACTTCCTATCTAATGTATGTATGCAGCTAATATGTGGCAATCATGGATGCCTTGGTGTGTACTGTATGTTACTTAGTGTGCTAAATTTGCAGTTATTGTATGCACCATTATATTATGGATTCCTATGAAATGCTGAAGCTATGCAGGAGTCAGCAGGAAGGAGTAGGTGCCTGATTGCTTTACACTGCAGCACTCTTACTAAGGGTTTTGAGGGGTACCTTCTCATTGGATCACAGTCCAGTAGACTGACCGCAGTGCAGTAACAAGCTGCCATGCATTTGTAGTAGTTGGAGAGGCCTCGTGCATTAGAGAACTACTTGTGCTTACAGGGATTGTCATGCAGCTGTGCAAAGTGGAAAAAATGTACCTCTTTGTATTTAACAAGGTGATCTTGACCTGCCTTCCTTAATCCTGGATTTTTGCATGCCCTTTCCTTAAATGTGGAAGTGCTTCAATAGAAGAAAACCTGACCTTCTTCACTAGATGTGACTTCCAATTCAAGTGACTGTCTTTTCCTGCATCAGCAATTCTTTTTTATGCCTTTATCACGTCTTGCCAAACCCAAAATGTAAAGACTCAGAGTAAATGTCAAGAGTCAACAAGTATTAGTTATTTATTGCAAAAATTATGTCTATAAATAGCAAAATAGCAAATCATCCCTGAATATATGCTATATGCCTTTTTCAACACTGGAGCAGTAAAGCAAGGTGTTGAAAAATGGGTCAATGTTTCTATTCAAATACATTTGATAGATTTTTGGGGCTACAAATTCCATTAGCCTTTGTAAAGTTAGCCAAGAATTTGAGGAATTGTAGCTGCAATTCAACTGCAGTGGGCCAGGTAGGGAAGGCTGATCTGAGTTATGTAGCTTCCCTGTGGGCTTTATTTCTATATTTCTCACAGAAAGCAAACACTTTTAGAACAATGCATTTAAAGAATAACCAATTTTTTTTTTTTACAGCATCCCACACTTCTTCTGTAATATTGGGACAGAAAACATGTCAAACAAAGGAAAGGTAAGAAACATTTGGTATCTAGTTATGAATGCTTTGAAAAACACTCAGAAGTGGTATGTTAGATCTTGCATGAGTGCAGAACCTTTCTGCTCTTCATTAAGGCACATGAGCCTGAAAAACTCATTATGAGTTATAATTAACAAATTAATTCCTTCAAGCAGCATGATATTTTTTTCTGTCTTGTGCACATGAGTAGCAGAGAGGTGCTGTGCTCACACAAGAACTAAAGCACTTATTTGGAATCATTTGGAATCATCAACACCCTAACAGTTGTTGCTCAATGGGTACAATGGTCATGCTGACTGAGAATTATGGGAATGAGTCCAATATATCAGACAGAGAAGATTGTTTTAGGGCTTATAACCATAAACAGATAAGCAAATGCTCCTTATGCAGGGCAGGAGTTTGATATCCCATTGATTTATGTATCCTAATTCTGAATGTTTCTGCCTTCTGATATATCTAACAAGTTTTCTACTAGCTATGTTTTTGTTTTTTTTAATAAGAAATCAGATCTTGAGTATAGTTAAATTCTTCAGCAGCAAGCATTAGGTCTAAACACAAAATGCATTATGTTAGACCTAAACTTGAAATCTCAACTATGTGGAATCTAAGAAGTTAGTAGCCTAGGGAAGGCTGGGGGGGAGGGGGGAGGGGGGACAAGAAATAGTCACTTTCCAGACTATTGAGCTATAGTTTTATAATGCTATCAGGTTATACCATTCTCTTCATTAGTGGTATAGAACCACAGCAGTGGTTCCCACTAGTGTGGAAATGGGCAGATAGATTCTTGATTTGTTGAGTCACCAAAGTAGACGTACGTTATCAAAGGATTTCCTTGCAAATGAGTGCAGGGTGCTTGAACACAATGCCTTTACGGTGCAGGCCTACCTTTCCCAATGTGGGATCCTCCAGTTATGTGGCAGCTGAAACTCCTAGAAATCTCTGGCTGGGAGTTCTGAGAGTTGCAATCCCAACATTTCTGAGGGCATCGAGATCCCAAGTATATGTATTATCTTATTGTCTTGTTCATGCTAAGATGGGTTTACGATGAAATGAGTAGAATGAGAACTGGTATAGCATAATGACTAAAAGTCTGAACTGCAAATTAGAAAATCCCTGGTTCTTGTTCTGGCTCTGATATGAATTTGCTAAGTGAGCTTAAGCAAGCCATTTCTTCTCCTCTTTGCCCTCCTCTCCTGTTTGGAAGTATTGGAAAGTGATACAGCTTACTGGGTTGTGTAAGGATTACATCATAGTAGTATCAATAGTTATTTTGGGGTCCCATTTCAGGGAAGCAGATATGAAGTATGCATTATTTTTATGCCAAATTAAAAACCAAAGGGACTCTGCTGAGAGGCAGAAGGTAGAAAAATAGAAATGGGGCTTCTTGTTTTATTTATTTTGAAATTTTAAATCTTGCTTTCAGTATATATAAAAATGTGAAACTTACCCCAGTGCATGCATGATTACACAAAATCCAGAGACCTTGGAGTGCGCCTAATGGCTGATGCAACTATGTGCTTCTCTTAGCTGTGTAGTCTCAACAGCAAATGAAGCTGCAGTTGAAGATGATTGTTCTTTCTTGGGGGTATGGAAGGAGGAGAGAAGCAAATTCCTATCACTGCTAATTCTCTGTCTGGCAGTAAAATTAAATTGATCTCCTTAATGTGATGTCTTTTTGAGGAACCAAAAACTAGGTTCACAAATCATACTAAGCCACAATTTTTAAAGCTTGATTTGCTGCATAAACCATAGTTAGTTGGATTCACACAACACATTAAGCCCTAAATCATGATTTACAAACCACAGTGACTGGATTCACAAGTCATTGTTTGGCTTAATTGTCTTTGTTAATTCAGCAAGGGAGGATAACCTCCTGAAGTCCTAATGCTTTAGTGCCAAAGTTTTTCAAATTCAAAGCTACAGTTTATTCTAAGCTTTTAGGAATGTTTCCCAGGAATAAAGCTAGATAGCAGAAGAAGTGAGAACTTTTCTCCCACTGAAAGTAGCAACTCTAAGGAATGGGATGGGGGATTCCAGTTAGAATTATGATAGAGCCAAAACTCTTTCTCCCTGTGTGCTTCTGTAACCAGGATAATGCTTGTTAACAGGCTCCTTGTTTGTAATATTAATGAACTGAATGTTATGTTAAAGCAATTTGACCCTGGCTGGTTACAGATCATGTTAAGCCATAATGTGGTTTGGTTGATTTTGGCTTAGTATACTTGGTTTAGTAAATGCTGCAATTATGGCTTATTCAGTAGACAATGGTTTATCAAACTGTGGTTTAGCACACTGAGTAAATTCGGTCTTTGTTTCTTAAATAGTATAGGGAGCCTCGGTATAACTAGGATTTTGTTCAGGCTAGATCTGCAAACAAAACTCCACTATTATCACTCTTTGTTCTGGAGCTAAAACTGTAATGAATACTCAGTTTTTCTTGTTTGCCTAATATAAAAGGATTTCATTGCTTCTGAGTTTCCATTCACATCAGTTCAATGATCTGAACTCTTCCAATTGTTTAAATTGTTCAGATAAGATTAAAGTTGCATAATGTGGTGGTACATATTTGGGAAATGATAAGTCTTGATCATAAAACAGTGAGTACTATACATCTGGAGCAGGCTGTTTTTAAATGTCTCTTTTGAAGTAGGCTATTAAAGCTTATTACAGAGTATGAATATAATGCACACCAGTGATTAAAACAATTGAGATACCTCCTGCAGTTTTACTAGATCTGGGCATAAGTAGTCTAGAGATATCAACATGTTCAGACCAGTATTAAAAGGGCAGAAAAAAAGGATTGGGTAGCAAGCAATGAAAAGAGTCCAAAACAGAAGTCTCCAAACACACCACATTAAAACACAGTTGTGTTGCTTAGGTAAATGCAAGTCAAAGGAAGAGAAGCAGAATCTTGGGTGTATGTAATTGTGTGAAGATGGTTGCATTGCTTCAGAATGGAAGCTTTCTTCAAGCAGTCACCATTATTGCTCATACATGTTTATGTTTGAAGCTTCCTTATGAGATGTAAATCTGTATGGTATGAGAAGTTTCATATGCCCTACCATGCCTCAAGAATAGTGCATTTTCATTGGAAAGAACAGGGATGCTCAACTCATCAGTTTCTAGAAGAAAATGTATTTCCTCATTGTACTACTAAAACAGACCCTGTGTAGACCTCTCTTGTAAGACAGTTTGACAACTGCAGTTAGTTGCAGGTGTGACTGGCAGATTTCTAAGTGAGCTAGGGTGCGGCTTAGCCTGATTCCTCTTGCAATTTAAAGGGTTGACTTGGTTTTTTTAAAGCTCTTCATGGTTTTGGACTTGAAAGATAATTTGTCTATCTGTACTTGCGGGTGTGAAGCAAAAAATGAACTGTTGAATTCTAAGCATGTCCTTGGAGGAGGCATTTCACTTTGCAGTAGAAGAGCTCACAATCACCCATGTATGTGAATATGTTTGCATGCATCCTGTAAGAGTATAAATTGCAATACTTCCTGTGGTATATGTACCTATTTAAATAAAAATAAAAGCGGGATAGATCTACATATCACTAGCAATAACACATCATTCATCTCTTTGGAAAAACTATTTCCAGCTGAAGTTTAGTCATGATTTAGTACAGTTTTTTGGGGAATTTCAAAGTGCTTTCTGGTAGCTTACACCACTTGGTTCCTGTCCACTTTCTGTTGAGTTATTATTGTAAGTCTATTATACATTTTTGTTTGGTGGGTTGGTTTGAGTTTGTTTGTTTGTTCATTTATTTATTAAATTTGTGTACTGCCCATCTCCCCCAATTGGAGATCAGTCTTGCTCTGTCTCTGGGAGTTCTTACATGTCAACTAGAAAACAGTGTGCATTATTTCACCTGTTGAGAACACAGAAACTATCCTTAAAAATTTTGAAGGACTGCAAGCCCTTCTAGCAGAACCTAGTCGTGTCTATCTCCACTTCTTGCTCAATAGCCTGTAGTACATCCATTAGCACTGGGGCTCTGATAAATTTGGCAAGAAGCTGTTCTGGAAATTCCCTGGATCAGAAGACCCTTCAAATTCACACATAGTTGGTATTGTGTTATAGGACAGTTAGCTGTTAGGAGACAGCTCTTGCTAGGAAGAGTCTTTTTTTTTTTTTGTATCTAGGAAAGAGCAATACTTTCACTTACTTTCCAAGATAGAAGCCAAGGATATCTATAGAACAACTGAAAGTGAGAAATTCTTGACAAAAATGCAGTTTCAGAAAAAAATAATAGAGATTTGGGTTCTAAAATCAAAGACACTAACTGCTCTACAGTTACACTCTCTCTTTCTCATAAGACTCTCTGTGTGGGGCCAAGAAATAATATCATACATTTTCCCTAGGCTTTTCTGTCTGCAAAAATAAAAATTCTCTGATCTTATCCTTGTTTCGGTATTAGAATACTGGAGGTAAAATCTGCAGAGTATGATGTCTGTGATAGTGGAGACAATAAGTTGCAGTGTTCGACTGGAATGCATATGTGCACAACAGAACAAGATGCATTCAGTCATTAGTGCCTAAGTTTCTGTTTGTGCTAGCCCAGGTCTGCCAGATGAAAATTCTAAAAAGGAGGTACTAATGCTATGGAGATTACAGATTTCAAAGAGACATGTGCATCTGAAGTTTTGAAAGCTTTGTATATTCAGTGTTCTAGTTCACGACCATGTTGATCTTGTGACAGTTTTTCCAAGCATCTCTGCAAAAGCTCATTTTGGGGAAATGTCTGAAAATGCATGAAACTGTAGCATGACAACTCTAAGATTTGAGAATGGCAGCTGAGGTCATGCAGATAGCATCCCAGATAATTGATTTACAGTGCACCAAATGTGCTGCTGTTCTGCTAGTAGGAATTTGTTGACATATGTCTTTCCTCAAATTACACTTCTTTTTCTTATATTACATTGTAATTTTTTAAACTGACAAAAATTGTGAACATGTATTTTGTTTTATGTCCAGCCTGAGTACCAGCAATAGTGAGGAATGCCATATGCAGTGTCATTTCTGAAAGTAATGTTATATATGGATCACCAATGATAACCTTCCTGCATTACAGTTACTATTTAATTATCTCTTTAGTATGCATTCCTTATTTTAAAAAGCTGAATGTTCCCTTGCCAAACCAGAAAGCGCTAATGTGGTTCTTCAAATAATAAAAAAGGATTGCTTTCTTGGTAATATTCACAATTTTGAGAACTTTTGGGTTTCATCTTGTTGCAAAAATGTACTACCTTCTATCAGACGTACCAGGTTTTGATATGTAGAAAGTTACTATTTGAAGGTATATTCAAGTGCCAAATCCTTTACCATGCATATTTCAGATTTTTTTTTTTTTACTTTGATTAACTTTACTTAGTGGGGATGCACTCAAGTACCACCTGACAGTTGAAAGAGTGCATCGTAGATAACATGAGGTTAAAGGAAAACTTATATATTACTGGGGTCCTTCTTTAAAGAATTTGCTGTGCAAGAAATTGTGTGATTCCTGTATAAAATAGGTACTTATATAAGATCTACAGAGAAGGATTGCATTATTTGCTTGGTGTAGTCACATCTGCTAAAGAATGTGGATATGCCTCAAGCATCCTTCCTTCTTGTGACTAGTCTAATTGTGTGATGCAATGGATAGAACCATTGTGATATAATAGTCTGAAAAGTGCACTTGGAGCTGTATACAGGACTTCAAATGTCCAATTTGAAGTTGTGGTTCAGATTGTGTCACTTTCTTATAGGTATGTTCAAGGACATTTGAGATATATTAATAAATAAAAATAGTACAACACATCTGAAGCTTGTAAGGGTTGGCAAAACCCGTTCCTTCAAGACAAGGACATCCAGTAGAGTATGTGCGTAGGAGAAGTTAGGAAGATGATTTGCAAGGTTTCCCCATCTGGTTATATGAGAGTATTCTATTAATGCACTCCAGAAAGAGAGAGAAGAGTACTTGAGAAATGACTCACCCTAATTCATATTTTTATCTCTTGACAAATATAGCAGAAAATGGAAGTACAGAAAGTAAAGGAAATTACAGAGTGGAAGAAAGAGGCCGGTATATCAGTGTCTGGGTTCTGCTCTTTTTGTGGTGGTACTAGAAGAGGTGAAGATGTGCAAGCATGGCACTAGCATTGTGTAAGAACTTGGCATTATGAATAGAAGAACCCAGGACAAAGTAGTTCTTCTATTTATAACTTCAAGGCTTTGGCCATCTTTCAGAAGGCCAGGGTGACTCATAAATGTGGGGGAAGGGATATGGGGAAAGAGAATCTATTTTAATTATACAAGTGAGATTTCAGTTGGAGCCTGTTATTGAGATCCTTTAAGGTTCTTCCAGTGTCATATCCATGCTTTCTCATGGTCATTTCCACACCATTATTTGCTTCTTCACATGAGTAGTTCCTAGCCCAAGGCCAGGTGCATCCTGGGGAACTAAAAAAATTGTGATACAGAGAAATGTGAAGCATGGTAGTTCCCATGAACATGAAAGCTGGAAGTTTCAACAGAGTCACAGAAATCAAAGTGAGCTGTATCCTGTGACTGTCCCATTTGTATGTGTTTCTAAGTATATATGTGGCCAAGTATTAGCCACAGCTGTTCACATGGAGAAGAAATTGTATGTGCTAAAGTATCATGTATCACCCTACAGAAACGATTCTAAGAGAGGCTGCTAGAAGCTGGCTGTGGAAACCGCAGTTCCTTCCTGAAAACAGATCTGCTACAGTCTTTATTGTGATTTGGAATAACACTGAACCTCTGATATCTGGGGAGAGAACTGCTCCATTCTTCCTTTGCCACTGATCTGCATTGCCATTTCATATATAATACTACATTAATCTCTACCTAACTGTCCCAGTGGGAAAAGACATAATGCTAGAGACTCTTTTGCAGGAATACCCCAGATAGCTAATTTACTTACCATAACACTTAGCATAAATGTACATGAATGTTCAAGATTGGGTGTGGGGAATACCACAGCTCTGAAATGCTTGCCTGAGTTAAGCCTTGTAATCTTAAGAGTATCTGTTGGATCATATGAGCTTACCGCTTTAGCTATTACTCCAGTGCAGCTTAAATATGGCTACTGCAAGTCCATATAACTTTAGGTTTCAGTGAAATTCCAAAGAGGAAGAATTCTGGAGCTACCAGCTACATGCTATCTTATTATCATATTATCGCAGAAAATTACAGTTCTACTCTATGGTGCACTAGTTAGACCTGGCCTGCACTGGAATACTGCATCCAGTTCTGGCTATCACAATACAAGAAGGACGTTGAGGAACTACAGCACAGAGAAGAGTGACAAAGATGGTGAGGGGTTTTAAGGTTAAATCCTACGAAGAATGGTTAGAGAAACTGGGTATTTTTAGCTAAAGAAGAGAAGGCTGCGGAGAGACATGTTAGTAGTCTTCAAATACTTGAAAGGCTTTCATAAGGAAGAAAGTGTGGATTGATTCTCCATAGATCCTGAAGGTAGGACAAGAACCAACAGGTAGAAGTTTTACAGAGGGAAATCCAGACATGAAATAAGAAGGGACTTCCTGACCATGAGAGCTATTAAGCAGTGGAACAGCCTCCTTCCTGAAGTCATGGATGTTCCATCACTGGAGGTTTCAAGCAAAGATTCAAAAGTCATTTGTCTGGGATGGTCTGAGAATTCCATCCTTGGGCAGGAATTCTCCAAGATCTCTTTCAAGACTTTGGTTCTATGATTATTGTACAATGTATAGATGACATGTTTTGTGATTAACAATAATTTGATTTTTCTTCTTTTTTTATTCTAGGCTGGAAGATATAGGGGTTCGGTGAGGGATTTCCCAAACTTTAATGCCAACCAGGATGCAGAGGCACTGTATAATGCCATGAAGGGATTTGGTATGTTATCTCCTATAACTCTGAATTAAAACTTGTTATGGTTTTCATATATGTCTGACATTTTAAAATGTTCTGTATGTTTTAAAAAATCAATAGTGTTTTAGGCACGAAGCCAACTGAGTGACTTTGGGCCAGTCGCTCTCTCTCAGTCCTAGGAAGAAGGCAGCAACAGCAAATCACTTCCAAAAATGTTGCCTAGAAAACTGCAGGGACTTGTCCAGGCAGTCGCCAGGAGTCAAAAATGACTTGAAGGTACCCCCCCCCCACCAAAATCCAATAAGAGCACTTCATAGCAATGACATTAACAGTGCATTTCCTTTCTCTGTGGAAATTGTATGCAAGAATGGTGAGAAGGAGGGATAGATTGTCATGCCTTCTACTTTTGGCATATACAGTACTGTGCTAAAGTTTTAGCCAGGTGTGAAAGAATGCTGTAAAGTAAGAATGCTTTCAAATATATATAGTGTAATTGTTTATGTTTCTCAATTTACAAAATGCAAAGTGAGCGAATAGAAGAAAACCCCAAATCAAATCAATATTTGGTGTGACCACCCTTTGCAAAACAGCATCAATTCTTCTAGGTACACTTGCACACAGTTTTTGAAGGAACTCGGCGGGTAGGTTGCTCCAAACATCTTGGAGAATTAACCACAGATCTCTTGTGGATGTAGGCTGCCTCAAATCCTTCTGTCTCTTCATGTAATCCCAGATAGACTCGATGATGTTGAGATCAGGGCTCTGTGGAGGCCAAACCATCATTTCCAGGACTCCTTGTTCTTCTTGATGCTGAAGACAGTTCTTAATGACATTGGCTGTATGTCTGGGGTTGTTGTCCTGCTGCAGAATAAATTTGGGGCCAATCATGCACCTCCCTGATGGTATGGCAGATAAGTATCTGCCTGTATTTATAGTATATATAAGTATCAGATAAGTATCTGCCTGTATTTA